GTTTCTTCCTCTCTTCTTCTTCTCTTCTTCTTCTCCCTCTTCTTCTTCTTCTCCCTCTTCTCCTCCCCTCTCTCTCCTCCTCCTCCCTCTCTCTCTCCCCCTCTTCTTCTCTCTCTCTCTTCTCCCCTCCCTCCTTTTCTTTCTCCTCTTCTTCTCATCCTCTTCCACCTCCTCTCCCTTCCCATCTTCTGACAGCCCCCCTCCCTTCTCATCCCTTGCTCTCAGTCCCCAGGAAGTGGCTCGCACCTTAGGCAGCACCCTCCTTAGCCATCTCCTCCAAAACACAGCTGCCTCCTTCTCTCCTTTTTCCCCTCCTCCTCCCTCCTCCTCCTCCTCCTCCCCTTTTCTGTTTCTCTTTCTCCTCCTTCTCCTTTTCTTTATCCTCTCTTCCTACTCCCCTTCTCTTCCTTCATCTCCTCTCCCTCCTCTCCCTCCTCCTCTTCTTTCTCCTCTTTCTTTCCCTTTTTCTCCTTCCTCTCCTTCTCCTTTTTCTCTTTCTTCTCCTCCCCTTCCTCCTCCTGCCGGCCGCTCGCCTCTAAGCAGGCCTCCCCCTTACGCCATTTCCGTACCCATTTCTCCCTTCGGGCCGCTCTACGCCGCCGTAAACGCGCTCCGAGAATAGGCCCTAGCTCACGCTCAACGTCCACCTGAGGAGATAGCGTAGATACCTCCGCTTCTTCCGCAGAGGCTGTTTCTGAATGAGGGCTCCGGAGTCACCTCCTCCGAGGCGTTAGATGTCAATCAAATGGGATGTACCAATCTTCGGGAAAGGAGGGGGGGAAGTAATAAAACAGAAGGGAAAACGGGGGGAGGTGCAGATGGATTGGGCCGAGAGCGGAAGGAAAAGAAGGAGGAGAGGGAAAGAGACTGGGAGAAACCATCAGAAGAGAAGAGGGGGGGAAAGAGGGATGTATTGGAATGTACCACAAGGTTCCTCAATAGAAGAGCATAAGTGTGTATGTATACACACATAGAATCCTAGAATCATAGAATCAAAGAGTTGGAAGAGACCTCATGGGCCATCCAGTCCAACCCCATTCTGCCAAGAAGCAGGAATATTGCATTCAAATCACCCCTGACAGATGGCCATCCAGCCTCTGTTTAAAAGCTTCCAAAGAAGGAGCCTCCACCACATCCCTCTGGGGCAGAGAGTTCCACTGCTGAACGCTCTCACAGTCAGGAAGTTCTTCCTCATGTTCAGATGGAATCTCCTCTTTTGTAGTTTGAAGCCATTGTTCCATGTCCTAGTCTCCAGGGAAGCAGAAAACAAGCTTGCTCCCTCCTCCCTGTGGCTCCCTCTCAAATATTTATACATGGCTATCATATCTCCTCTCAGCCTTCTCTTCTTCAGGCTAAACATGCCCAGCTCCTTAAGCCGCTCCTCATAGGGCTTGTTCTCCAGACCCTTGATCATTTTAGTCGCTCTCCTCTGGACACATTCCAGCTTGTCAATATCTCTCTTGAATTGTGGTGCCCAGAATTGGACACAATATTCCAGGTGTGGTCTAACCAAAGCAGAATAGAGGGGGAGCATTACTTCCCTAGATCTAGACACTAGGCTCCTCTTGATGCAGGCCAAAATCCCATTGGCTTTTTTTGCCGCCACATCACATTCCTGGCTCATGTTTAACTGTTGTCCACGAGGACTCCAAGATCTTTTTCACACGTACTGCTCTCGAGCCAGGCATTACTCCCATTCTGTATCTTTGCATTTCGTTTTTCCTGCCAAAGAGGAGTGTGTGTCTATATGCATGTGATATAGATCTGAGTGTGTGGTTGTGAATATGTATACACACACATCTCTCTCTCTTTCTCTCTGTATACACACACACACACACACACAATAAATAAATAAATAAATTATAATAATATATATTATTTATATAATATAATATATTATAAAATAATATATAAAATATTATATATTATGTGTGTGTGTGATGTAGATCTGAGTGTGTGGTTGTGAATATGTACACACACACGCATCTCTATATGGTATATGTGTGTGTATGTCTATATGTATGTGATACATATCTAAGCATGTGGTTGTGAATATATATACACACATCTCTATTTATATGATATATATGTGTGTGTATGTCTATATGTATGTGATATATATCTGAGTGTGGTTGTGAATATGTATATACACACACACATACACATCTCTATATATATGTGTGTGTGTTATATGTATGCGATATATATGTGTGTGTGTTATATGTGTGTGTGTTATATGTATGCGATATATATCTGAGTGTGTGGTTCTGTTTATGTATATATATAGAGAGAGATACACATCTCTATATGGTATATATATGTGCATGTGTGTCTTATATGTATGTGATATATATCTGAGTGTGTGGTTCTGTATATATACACACACACACATATACATCTCTATTTATATGGCATATATGTATGTATGTCTATATGTATGTGATATATATCTGACTGTTGTGAATATGTGTGTGTATATATATATACACACACATCTCTATATGGTATATGTGTGTATGTCTATATGTATGTGATATATATCTGACTGTTGTTATGAATATGTGTATACACACACACATATCTCTATATGGTATATATATGTGTGTGTGTATGTCTTATATGTATGTGATATATATCTGAGTGTGTGGTTGTGTATATGTATATATATAGAGAGAGATACACATCTCTATATGGTATATATATGTGTGTGTGTGTGTGTCTTATATGTATGTGATATATATCTGAGTGTGTGGTTCTGTATGTGTGTGTGTGTATATATATATACATCTCTATTTATATGATATATATGTATGTGTGTATGTCTATATGTATGTGATATATATCTGAGTGTGTGGTTGTGTATATGTGTATGTATACACACAAACACATACACCTCTATTTATATGGTGTATATATATTATGTGTGTGTATGTCTATATGTATGTGATATATATCTGAGTGTGTGGTTATGTATATGTGTATATATATACACACACATACACACACATATATACTATACTAACCATACCATACTAGCCATCCCCTGCCATGCGTTCTTGTGGCCCAGTCTGTGTATATGTGTTTTGTGTGTATATGTGTGTGTATATCTGTATATGTGTGTATATGTGGTTTTGCCCATGCGTTGTAATGTATTTTTTTTGTTTTTTGGCTTTTTAAGTCCCTTCTGCTGTGTTTTTCAGTGTTTTTTATGAGTGATGGTCACTTGTTGGCCTGAGAGGTGTCTTGTGTCCAAATTTAGTGTCAATTCGTCCAGTGGTTTTCAAGTTAGGTTAATCCCACAAACGAACATTACAGTTTGCCCAGACCTGATCTACACTGTAATGCATTTTCACACCACTTTAACCGCCATGGCTCCATACTATGGAATTGTGGGAGTCGTAGTTTGGTGAGGCACCAGCACTCTTGGGCAGAGAAGGCTGAAGACCTGATACAACTACAGATCCCATGATTCCATAGCACGGAGCCATGGCCGTCAACGTGGGATTGAACTACATTAATTCCACAGTGTAGATGCATTTGTTGTGTATTCTTCCTCACTCATAATTTTTGCTTCCCATTCTGATGTTGCTTGGCCACATGTTTGTCTTTGAAAGGTTGGAAAGTGTGAAACACATAGATGAAGACCTTGACTTAAATATTCCGATAGAAAAGATGTGCAGATATTTGTCAACAAGCCTTGCGTTCTATGTTAATGGAGTTAGCATTGAATGAAAGAGCGAAAGATTTAGATTGTCTTGTGCAAAACAGAGAATGGAACAATATGCCGGCTCCATCACTTCAATCTCTTGAGGCTTAAACTACTATTTGGTTCAGCAACAATTGATGTTTGGCATACATCGGGCGAAGGACACAAAGGTTTTGCTTTTTCCTAAGGAAGAAATTATCTACTTCAAATAAATAGTGGCAGTGAAATACAGATAATGCATCGTGCAGCAAATGATGTGTCTATGTGCTCAATACTTGATCCTTCCTGGTCGGAGGTATTAAAACATATTAATTATGTATTAGAGAAATCTTCGTCATTTGTAGATGTACAAATTCTTTTAAATTAGATCCTTTTGTTCAATAGGTTTCTATCGTATGGCCAAAAAAGAGGAAGCATGAAGAATTGATTGGAGACATTGGGTGTATCTACACCAGCATTTCTCAATCTGGGGGTCAGGACCCCTGGAGGAGGGGTCGTGAGGGGGTGTCAGAGGAGTCACCAAAGACCATCAGAAAACACAGTATTTTCTTTGGTCATGGGGGTTCTGTGTGGGAAGTTGGCCCAATTCTATCATTGGTGGGTTCAGAATGCTCTTTGATTGTAGGTGAACTATAAATCCCAGCAACTACAACTCCCAAATGTCAAGGTCTATTTTCCCCAAACTCCACCAGTGTAACATTTGGGCATATTGAGTATTGTGCCAAGTTTGGTCCAGATCCATCATTGTTTGAGTCCACAGTGCTCTCTGGATGTAGGTGAACTACAACTCCAAAACTCAA